AACCTGATACATTTTGAATATTTACGTCATTGGGAGGCCAAAGAAAGTGGTTGATAATTCCTCTTACAGAGCAATTTGCGGATGTGCACTAGTTCTCAATGGTGGCATGACATATCAACTCAGTTCCAACATTATTACTTCTCTTGCACATGAGTCTCTACCCTAATAAATGCATCAATAATATCAAATCACCAAGATCCGTTTATTAGGGCCTATACGGTCAGCAAATGTCAACTGGTTGTATAGATAGATTTTTATTTTACGTAAAGCACTGGCGACTCGTGGCTATCACAGAATGCTAATGATTACGATGCGGTTCACTGTAGTTCAGTTTATGGTTCAACCAGGCGAATGCATCTCCAGGTTTAGGCTGTGATGTGTTTTAAAGAGGTATTAAACAAAGGAGGTTAAAACGTAGTGGTGTATAGTATTTTTTTCTTTATTACTTTCTTTAAAATAATTTTGTGACTGTTAGTACTAAGCCTGCATGTTATGCCCGTGAATCTTTAGTACTCTCAGGGATTAGTGCGTTGTATGATGTACCACTGCATTGGTAGGCATGATTACTCATCTGTTCAGACACAATTTTCTTTTACTTTGTTACCTTGATATATACGCTGTTTAAGATGGGGGGAGAGTGATATCAGGTTGCCTTCTACCCGCGGCATGTCTTTTATCATTTATTTGCTGTTGTAGATTCTCTCATTAGCAAATTAATAAACAAACAAACAAACTCTTCCCCACGTCTGTGCAGGTACGTTCCTGTCGGCGTTCTTCACGCTGTGCTGCCCGGTGCCGGGGATGAAGGACGAGCCGAAGACGAAGCCGTTCTCGTACTGCCTGCTGGCAGCCTTCGTGCAGATCGTGCTGGCCATCATCATCGTGGGCTGGATCCTCAGCTTCTACTGGGGAGTCATGTTCATCGTCATCTCATGTAAGTGTGATTCTTTATACTAAAGTCACATTTCCAGCCCGGGACCCGGCGTGGCAGTTTCCAGGAACGAAAACTATGATATGAAAGACAACATTCAACAAACACTAAAAAAGAAATGAAAGAAAACATGAGTGCTATTTCTGTATGTTTGTATATTGTTGATATGAATTGTTTTTTTGATCTCGCAAAAAAAAAATCGAAAATTGCTATAGATTTTTGTAGTTATGAACTCTCCGTAATTCTGTAGTTAAGTTGTTATTCCAGCATTCCCCCTGACTACAACTTAGCTGCGCTTCAAGAAAGCAAGAAAAGTTACCAATGAAAAAGTCGTTTGCCACCAACCGTCGTTTGCATTACGTGGCATGGATTCCAGACGACTTTACCACACCTTTTATTCCGCCTGGCAAATGTTCACTACCCAATAAAAGTATGTAACATGCAGCGCTACTGAATAATGACTACAAAACAGAGATAAACCAACTGTGCGCACATAAGCAACATCTAGGTGACATAACTGCTTTTGAATTACAACCAGTGACTGAACTCCATGAAATGTTGCGTCACAAGAGAAAGTAAAGTGTTTATCCCACTAAGCCTTACATATACCTAGGCTCAACGCCTTAGTGCTTTTCCTTAATGCTTTCCCAAAGTTCGCTAGTTGGGTAACCCTGGCTGTATGTGTACCAGCAAAAACAAATAGATAAGTGCTTTCCGGTGTCGACAAAATCAAATCCACCAGGATTATTCAATATCCATCAGAGCAAAACAAACTGCGCTGCATGTAACCTCGCGTGACATTCAATTACCTCCTCTGTATGAAGTAAGCTGCCTCCTCGGCCTCATTCTGGAAATATAACTGCGACATTCGTCTTGTACAGGTACTTCTTGTGGATTGACTCATTTTTCTTTGGCCACACTCATCAGGCTATCCGTATTTATCGACTGGTATCCATTTGTGGGAAGTCGTTTGTTAGCCGACCAGGTATCCATCTCCCCCGCTTGTTAACACACCTGATTCCAGGGAGCCCTGTCACCACCACGCCTCACGTCTGCTTTAGTCTCGCCGGGCGTCGCAAATTACTGGGCGAAAAATCAACTTGAGCCCAAGAAGTTGAGTCCAGATAAGCTGTACAAGACGAATTACTGTTACTCGGAAAGCCACATCGTAAATCTAAAGATTCCATGAACAAGTACGGCTTTGTCTGCCTGTAACGTTCTCAATATTCTACGCCGACTTTTTGCATTCATGCGCTATAGATTCTATCATTGTGGTGCGGCTAGTATAAGCGAATGGCTTCAGTACGGCGCCACAGTATATCTTCTTTTGGTGTTTGAATGAAAAACACGACAGGTCAATTTCTTGAATTGATGGCCAGCCATAATATCATTACTCTCGTTACCTTCGCCGCGCCGCCTGGTATCAGCCCTGCAATGGTACGTAATGATGCAATTTCTTTGCCCAGTGGAGCGTAAAGATGGAAAGATATACGTAAGCAACGATCTACTCCGGTCTCAAACCGATCGTTTGGGCTGTAATTTAGAGAGTTCGTGATTCCCCAGGGCATCTCCGCGGACCGCAGCAGATAGCCTTATCTCTGCTTGTGAGCTTGTGTGGGTGATCGGGAACAACCAAACCGGCAACGCGCCATTACAGGATAGGGTAGAGTATGACGTGTAGCAAGGCAACGCGGCGTGGGCCAGACGCTGTGCGCGGCTTTTATCTAGCGTAACTCCGGGGGCAGTTTGATTATTGTAATCATATCTATGGCATTTCAAGGGAATCCAAATTAGCGGATGAAACTTAATACCACTCCAGATGGTTCGTCCTATGCTAGCTCCATCATGGATAATTAGGCATTGCAGTGTGGCCTGGATCGATGATAATCTCCAAGCAGATGTTGGGAGGCAACGTCGTAACGTTTTCTAGCTCGCCGCTTTTGTTACAAACGATTTGGAAGACTAGACAGAAAACGTTACGATTCTGCCTCCACAATCTAGTTGGATGACAGATGGATGGTGCCTGGGATACTGAAATGGTCCGATGTTGTGAGGCATTATTTATAGAAGGTCGTTGAAGATGTGTGTTGGTGGGACATACCACGTTAGTAGAGTAGATAAGAAGACATCAGCCCGCTGAGAGCTTGCCTAAGTGGACAGTTTCCTGAGCCAGTGCTCCTTATCTCCACGCAAAGGGACGACTAGAAACCATCACGGTGTGTTTGATGGAGAGACCGAACATCCAAGCTAGGACTCATCATCATCATCATCACCATCATAATCATCATCATCACCTGCCGGGGATGAGCACCAGTGTCTGAGCATGCCAATCCCCTCCATCACAGCCTGCCGTATGCCATGGTTTGAACTGCGTTTCCACGAAGCTGTCTTGTGAATAAGTGAAGACCAACATCATGTAATGAGAAAAACTGTGAGAAACACACATGAACGTCCCTGTGATCTGTCACTACTAACGTGAAGTTTCCTATAGTTGAAGACGCCGGCTGCCATCAAACAAAATAAATGACAAAGCAATATTCATGTGGGTTGATTGGAGGTAAATGAATTAAGTTAAGAGAGATACGATGACTGCTCACCAAGCAAAGGTTGAAGAGGGAGGATATCGTTAGGCTCCATCAAGCTTTCTTAAGGGGTTATGGGTAGTATAGAATTTAGCAAAAAAAAAAGGACCAATGATTGGCCCAGGGGAGAGAGCCGCGGTAAGGGCAACATTTCCCCCTGGAAACTGCACAGGCAAATGAGCTCCAGGATGGCCAAACTCCCCTGGCAAATTCTTCTCCCTATTTGGCTAAAGTTTACTATCAGTCCACACTGTTTAGTCTGGGCTAGGAGATTGTTACATTCTGATTGGTTCCCCGTTTTCTAGAATTCTGACAGCCGACTCCTTCAAGGAGTACCAATCAGGAGAAGGCAACGGTCTACTCATCAGCCTCTGCTTGATGAGTACGCGGTAACTAAACTAGCCTTTACGTGTATTTCTGACGACAAAAAGCAATATAGACGCATGGCAGAATTGATCGGCACACACATTTGTACCAGGACGGCCTTCAGCAAGTACACGGTCTGAGGCAAGGTCAGCCGGTAATGGTCAAACCTGTAGAAGGATGAGTGAGGCGGGCTGATAATTTCCCTGTGGAGAGCCAACAGTTGCACTATGCCACAAACTCTGTTTAATTTGGCCAGCAGTAACAGCAATTACAGTAGCTTGATTAAATCCCGCTTGTAGCGGTCCGGCCAACATCGGCG